AAAGGTTAAAAAATAAAAAATCAAAATCAAAAAATAAATAAATAAATAAATAAATAAATAAATAAAAATCCCCAGGATTATGGTAAAGGAAAATTTAGCTGTGCACCAAGTCTAGAAAGAAACCAGCCAAGAAAAATACAGAAGAGGTGGCTACAAGAAGAAAAAATGAGAGAAAACCTATTATATTTGAAAGTTATTTCTTACTCCACGGTCTGGCACAATAACAATTAGCAATAAATTACCTTTAAAATTAAACTGAAAATCATAATTTTTCAGAATAACCTAAACAAAAAGTTGAACAACAATGAAAATATATTCATAGTATACTGAATTACGTCAAAAAATATATTTACATAGTCATAATAATACAATTATTAAATATTAATATAACAAAAATGATAATATTGGTAAGTACTTTAGTAGGCTGAGAAAAGTGAGGAGAAAGGTAGAGAATAGCATAAGAAATAGTATATAGAAAGAGGTTAATATATCACATATGAAACTGAAATATCAAGAATGATAGCATAAGCATGTTATTTAGAAATATGGAGAAAAATACTAAAAGAAAAAGCTAAAAGAATTAAACGTTATTGTTTCTGTGAGAAGGAATGAAAATGGATCCTGATAATTGTTTCATAATAACAGTGTAGATTTTTAAATTCAGTGTAACTTTGGTAAAGTTTAAATTTAAAATAATTATTGAAAATCAATGAGATTGCAACAATTTGACAATCATAGGTGGACTATATAAAGAGTTCTTAGAAATCAATAAAAAGCAAATGCCACATTGTAAATACAGGTGATTCATTAAAAAACTAAAAATGTGATTAAGAATGTAAAAACATTTCAGAATGAATTAAATGAAAGTTAAAAGAAAAAAAAAGCAATGAGACTACTTCTAGATATATACCCAAAAGAACTGAAAACATATGTCCACACAAAAACTTGTACACAAATGTTCATATCAGCATTATTCATAATAGCTAAAAAGTGATGAATAGATAAATAAAATGTGGTATACCACATAATGGAATGTTATTCAGCAACAAAAAAGAATGAATTTCTAGTACATTCTTTGTATTAATCCATACAAAATGGATGAATCTTGAAAACGTTATGCTAACTGAAACAAGCCAGTCACCAAAGGACACATATTGCATGATTCCAGTAATATGAAATGTCCAGAATAGGCAAATCCACAGAAGCCGAAAATAGCTTAGAGGTTGCCAGAGACTGGTGGTGGGGGAAATAGGGAGTGATTACTAATGGATATGAGGTTTTTTTGTGGGGTTATGAAAATATTCTCAAATTAGACAGTGGTGATGATTGCACAACTCTATGAATATTAAAAACCACTGTATAAAAAAAGAAAGAAAAAAATTATTTTTTAATTAAAACCACTGCATAATAGCATTTGAAATCTTGCTTCCTGGCATGTCATCTGTTTGGCTCAAATAAACGCTTACAAAATTTTTTTTTAAAACACTGAATTGTATCCTTTACAAGGATAAATATTATGGTATGTAAATTATAACTCAATAAAGCTGCTGTAAAAAATAAAATAAAACCAAAAAGAACATTAAAACTACCAAAATAAAAAATTTTAAAAGTGCAGAGCAGAGGAAAACAGTAAGATTAAAAGAGGAAGAAACAGGGCCGGCCGAGTGGCACATTGGTTAAGAGCTGGCTTGGGACGCCAGAGGGCCCTGGTTTGGATCCCACATATGAGGGCCAGTGACACTGCCCTCCACAGCTAAGATGCTAAACA